AAAAAGAAAAAAAGAAGCAAACTGTTTTTCTTTGTGTTTCAGTTACACATTTCAAAATCTACATAAGCATCAGGTATGGTACTGCACACCTCCGCAATCTCAGTACTCAGGGAGGCTGATACAGGAGGATCTCCATGAGTTCAAGGCCAGCCTGGGTTAACAGTGAGTTCAAGGCCTTCCTGAGCTACATAGTGAGACTCTATCACAAACATCAAAGAAGGGGGAAAAAAAAAAAAGCACCCAGGAAGAGCGGTGCATGCCTGCAACTGAGTACTTGGCAAGTTGTGGTGGGAAAATTGAGGACGTCTTGGGCTAGATAGTGAGGCCCTGTCTCAAAATAATTTTCCTTTTTGTCTTTTTGAGAAGGAACAGGAACAGTGGAAAAAGTCAATACTTTAGGGCCAGCGAGATAGCTCAGTGGACTACGTGCCCCTGCTTAGGCAAGCACAAGGATCAGACTGGCACCACATACATCACGGCACCGCCCTCGGGCGCACTGAGCCGGCCATAGAGACCTGGTGTGGCAGCGCACGCCTGTAATCCCAGTGCTGGAGAGACTGAAAACAGGAGGATCACTACAAGTCCCAGGTACATAGTGAGAAGCTGTACCACATACATTAAAATTTTTTAAAAGTCAGTATTTTATTTTTTTGTCTTTTTTTTTTGTACTGGGAATCAAACTCAGGACCTTGCGCTTGCCAGGCAGTCACTTAAGCCCCTGAGCTATCTCCCCAGCCTATTTTTTTGTCTTTTTGAGACAAGGTCTCACTGTGCAGTTCAGGCTGGTCTTAAGCTCACTTTGTACCCCAAGCTGGGCTCAGACTTGCAAGGATCCTTCTGCTTCAACCTCCCCAGTGCTGGATTATAGGTGTGCACCACCACACCTGGCTGGAAAAATCAATATTTTAGGGACAAAAATTCTTCTAGGGACAATGGGGAGCAAATGAAAGAAATATCATCAAGTAACTTCCTGTATTAACACATACCTTCCAACAAACCCATGGACATCATCATAGCTGTCATATATCTCAACATAGTCAGCCAGGCAACCCGGGTCATCTTCAAGGTCAAAGTTCAAAAAACTCAGCTGAATGCGCTGGCCGTACTTGAGTCTAATGTGCCAATAGCAGATCTGGTTATCCTCGTACTCTTTTGGGAAGCCTGGAGATTTAAAAATTCGCTTTGGATCTGTAAAGACACCACCGCACTCCTTTGCTGAAATGGAAAGAGAAAGAAACCAAGGTGTTAGGGAAATAATTATCTTTATTTGAAAATGATAGCCACATTTTAGACATATAAAATACTAAAGAAATGGCTTGATATATTGTATTTGCATATTACATGTGTTTATAGATAAAGAATTACTATATTTTTTTCATCGATAATCCCTAAATTCTCCAAAACAAACATGGGCCATTGGAGAATTTTCTATTCTTAAGACAGTCTGTCGTGGTGCCCTGGCTGGCCTTAAATTCACAGCCTCACACAGTCCTTGCACCTTTGCCTTGCTGAGTGGCTAGTGGAGGCATATGTCCTATGCCAGGTTTGCTTATTTATTTATTTATTTTTTTTGGTATTTTTTAGGGAAGGGTCTACAGGGTGTTCAGGGTCTCATTACTAGATCGGACCCGTAGTGATTCTCCTATTTACAGCCTCCCAATCCAGCTGGGGTTATAGGAGTGCACCACCACACCCAGTCTCAATTGCTGTCTCAGCCTGCCCCAGGGGCAGGGCTGGCACGGCAGGCCTGGGGATCGAACCCTGGCCACTGTGCCTGCTTGCAGGCACTTTAATTCGCTGACCTATTTGGCTGGCCCATTATTTATGAATTTTTTTAAAAATCAAAGTAACAAAAATGTGTTAGTTGTATTTCTATGTACATTTTCCTTTTATCTTTTAAGCCATAAGACACACACTTGTTTTGCTATGCTGTACTTCTGAGTATTTCTGCCAGATATATCTCCATGTTGCCAGCAGCCTGATTAACATGGTAGCACGCATTAGGGATGTAGTTTGGTGGTAAAGCTCATGCTTAGCATGCATGGGGCCCTGAGTTCAGTGCCCAGCACTGAAAGAAAAGAAAGATGGTAGGGTTTTCTCCTATACTATCCCTGTGTCTCAGGGGCTTAAAGACAATGATGAATCCCATAAATTCTTTTTAGAGCATCATTATTGAATTCAAGGATCATAAAGGACCTTAAAAGTCACTCTAATGCAATTAAAGGGAGTGGTTTATAATCATTCTGTATCGCTTTTTGCTTATTTGTAATTTTGGTGCTGGGGATTGAATCCAAGAACTCATGTGTCTGGGCTGGTGAGATGGCTCAGTGGTCTAAAGCACCTACTTAGAACAAGCTTAGCGAAGCACAGGGACCGCGGTTCAATCTCCCAGCACCACGTGCCAGCCAGCCCCGCCCCCTGGTGGGCTGAGCTGGCCACACACACACAAATAAATAAATAAATAAAATTAAAAAAAAAAAAAACTCATGTGTGCTATGCATGGGCTCTACCACTCCCTATGCCCATAATCCTAATACTGTACTATGCTGCTTTTTTTTTTTTTTTTTTTTTTTTTGGCGGAACTGGGGATTGAACTCAGATCCTTGCGTGCTTATCCTACTGAGCCATCTCCCCAGGCCCACTATGCTGCTTTTAAACTAACATTTAAAGACTGGTGTTTTAGGATTTGCTGGTGATATTTATGCTTTTTTTCTTTTTCCTAAGACATTCATTTTATAAATTTCAGTTTGTCATATGAGCTGTTGTAAGAAAAAATGAACAAAATTATAAATAAAAACCTTTGGCAGAACCTGCAATACAGCCAGGAAGAAAAGCTGTGGAGGAGGCCCAGGCACTTAGAATTCCCTATCAGAAAAAAAAA